AGAATGAAGGTGCAAAATTGAGTCAAGCTTGTGATTTTGTGTTCTATTTGTAATATTTAATTTTGTCTAGCATATATTTAAAATTATTCTAATATAGATAGCACATTTATTTTATAAATAATTTTAATTGTTCAGTTTTATTACATATAAAAATCTGTTTTCAAACACCTTAAAATTGATTCAGGTTTTTCATTTTTTGGCACATTAAAGTAATTTTAAGTTAAATTTTAAGTATCATAAGATTTAATAAGTTAATGGCTATAAGTGCTTGAATATTTTTAAACAGTATATATCTCATTGCATATATTGGTAAGAAATACTAATACAGTTGTACAAATGAAATTTTTTATACAAGTATTTTTGAGCAAAGAGCAAATTTTAAAATTGCTTAAGTTATTTAAATAACATGTTTTATAGGTATTTTGAAGATTATTAGGCACCTCTTAGAAATTTGGAAGAGATTTTAAATTTAATTCAATTTAACTAAATTTTCTTTCAACATTTATTACCTGTAAATGTTATTATTTTAGGTAATTCTGAATTAGAAAATTCTGAATAATAATAAAATCTTTTTAATTATGGGGACAATTTTTAATAAGTAAGATTGTAAAAATAATACTTAAATAAGAAATTTATGTTTACATAAATTTTCAGGTTTGTTGAATATTGTTTTATAGACTTATAATACTATAGCTAGGATAATATGTTTGTAGAAAAAAGGGTTTGGAAGTTGATTAATTGGACATTATTTTAGCGTATAAATTTATTAAATTTAATATTAACATTGTAAAAGTTACATTATTTTTAATGAAAGTAGTTTAAGGAAAGCGAAATTTTCTTTATAAAAAGTATAAAAAATGGTTCTAGGGAAAGCAAATTTTTTTTAGTGCAGTGTTGTCTATGCTTAATTAAAATATTACTGTTGGTTAATTATACGAAGCTTATTGGTAGATTTTATTAGAAAGGTTTGCATTAAACAGGTGTTATTTATAGTTAAAATCATGCCTTAACGAGCTACTATTAAAAAATGCTTAAAAATGTGATTTAAATCTAATTTGTTCAAAAATCATTTTTAAATCTATTACAATGGAAAATGTGACTACATTATCTTATAATTCTGTATAAATGAAAATATATCTATTTGTTGTCAAATCGTTGCACTTTATCAAAAGGTTACAACTTCAATTACCTCAGAAATTAACCGATTGTCTCCCAGTGTTGCCTAATCTAAATCGATGTCTAGGCGATAAAATGTTTACAAAATATTTGTGCTGAGTTTTATTATCCTTTAGAGAGATTGAAAAACTATTCATTCGTGCCATAGTTTTTATTTATTTATATTAGATACTTTAGAGTTACAGTCGAACCCCGCTATAGTGAACATGGTTTATAGTGAACTCCCGGATATAAAGAACGAAATTTTCGCTCCCGTGCCTTGCTATACACGTATGATATTATTTTTTGTGTATATAGTGAGCCAAAAGAAGACAGGAAATTAGATATTATGACTGATTTTTCTTCTTCATTTTTTGGTAATTTTGAATTTCTAAATTTATGTAGAAATATCTACCCAAAATACATGTGCCGATTTTTAAAACTGTCTACTGAGTGGAATATAGCCATAAGCATTTTTTCTTGTTTGCTTCTTCTATATCAGTTTCCCATTCCTAAATAAAGGTCATCCCTAAATTTGTCTGCACGCAAGACAAAGAGTAATAAAAGAATAAAAGTTAATATATTTTTTGTTACTACGTATAGTTTTTTTTATTCATTTTCATATTTCCTTTTATTGATAATTTATTTAAATAATGTGTATTAAAAAGCGGGAGTTTGAAACCATTAGTTAAAATTGTTTGCAGTGTGGATATAGTGAACTCCCGGTTATAGTGCACCGAAATTTCGGTCCCTTGAAAGTTCACTATAGCGGAGTTTGACTGTATACGTAGGCTGGAATTTCTATTAAGGAGAGGCGCCATCTCTTTGCTGGTAGAGCATGAAAGGTGTTAGCCAGTTGCAATAGATTTTTTTCTAATTATATATCATTTGTTTATCAAATATTAGTATAAATAAATATATTAGTTAGTATAAATATTAAACTTTATTTGATAAAATTTAATTTATAAAACGTCTGGGGGGATAGGGGCAAATGACTATGCTTGGTGGGGCTTAGCTCCACTTGGCCCTCTCCTCTGCTACAAGGCCTGATTAATTGTTTTTTTTTCCTAAAAATTATTATTTTAACGCAATCTATTTTGAGAAAAACATTTATCGACTGAAGAATTCAGTTGAAATTTCGTAAAAATTAGGTACATTATATCATAATTGATACTGGTTATAACTGAACTGCTAAAAAAAAGAATAGATTTTATTGGTTGTTAAAGTCTTAAGTAATTTCTAGTTTATTATTAGTGCTATTAATATTCATTTCCTCTTTAAATTATAATTTATAGGAATATCAAATTTATTAATTTAATAATTTTTAGTGGATGTATAATTTAAATTTATGCTTTTAAAATCTTTTTGACTGATGTAAAGCTTGTTTATATGGTAGTTTTTTTTAAAACATTTTTGGAAACATTTAAATATTTTACCATTAGAAATCCTCAAAGAATTGCAAATTGATTTTTTAGTTAAGTTTTTTTTAAAAATTTAATTGGACCAGACGCTGTTAATAGAAAATTTATATTTTGTTTAGATAAAGTTATGTATTTGCTATTTCAAATTATCATAGAAAAACTTCAATGTTTTTAAAAAAATTCAAATACTTAAATTGTACGTTTTCGTGAAAAAATTTTAGAGTTACCTAGTGTTTGTTGCTAACTTTAACAAAATGTTAACTGCTTAAAAAAACAAAAACAAAATAATTAATTCATACTTCTTTTTTTTTTTTTCAAAGTGTAAATAGAAATATTTCATAGCCATTCTAAAAATATAGATAGCTATTAAAGTGCATTTTAAAAGATCTTGTGTAGTAAAGAAACTAGCCATTTAGGATTTAAATTTTTTGGTTGTTGGAATATTATTAATTTTATTCCACTGAAATAATTATTCGCAATTTTTTATATTTTTTATTAAAGTTGTAATGGTGTTAATTCTGCCTGGAGTTCTGAAACTTTAGTAGGAGAGATGGTTTAATAGATGGTTTTCAGCCCAGTCTAGTATTTATTTCATATAGAAATAACATTACTTAAACATAAAAAATAATTCCTCAGAAATATTGCTATTTTCGGAATAAGAATTATTTTTAATTTTATATTTTTCTCAGTTGTTCAAAATGAAATTTTGCTCAATTAAATGTGCAGGTGCCAATTAATAAAGAACAGAGATAAGAACACTAATATTATTATTGACTTTATATTTATTGTTGTCTTTTCTTATTGCAAATCTTTTTTAAGTCAATTATTGTAAAATGTATTCACTTTTTTTAATAATCTTTTAGTTAATGGTTACATCAATTTTAATGGCTAATTTTTTAAAGTTTTTTTTAATTAGAAAATGTATAGCTAATAGTTGAAAAGCAAAAGCATTAAATCTAACGTTGGTTTAGTAAAATAAGAATCTTTTTTAAATAAAACAATTCTATTTTTTTGTAGTTTTAATGGCTCTTTATAGTTATTTTTTTTTATTAGATTTGATTTATTTGAAAGTGAAGGGGGGTGTTAATTGCTGGTTTAAAGTAGGTTTGGTAATATGCACCAGTAGAAGAAATAATGTTTAATTTAAACAGATAGAAATTACAAAAATCTGTTTACTAGTAAAGAATAGTTAGGAAATGTGATATCGCTTTCTTTTTTCATCATATTCAAAAAGACAGTGTTTCACTTGTCTGATTGGCCCACGAAACATTTAATTAAAAATTTATAATTTCTTATAGTTTCTGTATAATTTTATTTACATGCACATTATATATATTTTTTATTTATAAATATTTATTTATTTATTTATATTATATAGTTAACACAAAAACAAAAAGATTTTCTTGTCGTCCTAATATATCTGCATCTGTTTGATCGCTGTCTCAAACTACAGTTGAAACATTTTGACACTTTTTTTTTCTAGAAAAAACCGCATTTTTTCTACTTGGTGCTTATCTACTTACATTATGTACAGTGAAAAGACATACAAATACAACATCACATAGAAAAGATGCAACATCAATAGCATCACTTTTGTACACTTTCGAAAAATGATAATAGTCGTTTTTTTTTTTACTGATTATATTGAAAATTTTGTTTGCTAAGTCCATCAGCAGACCCGTAGTTAAAAGTTTCAGATAAGTTCTTTACTTTATGCTCGTTAAAGTTGTGGAACAATTTCTAATAAAAAAAAAATATGTGTTTAAGCAATACAGTATTTTTACAGCAATATTTCTTTGTGTTTGAATTATGTAACAATGATTGCATAATTTAAAATTATGTAACAATGAAATTTCAATGTGTGTATGATAAATTCATTTTTAATTTACCCCCACTCAATTTAATTTCAAGCATTATAAAGCTTGAAATTTTTTATGTGTTACTACTAGAGAGATTAATTTTCATAAATTAGACCCTATTAATTGGATTCAATATTTTCTGCATTAAATGCTGGTGAAACTACTTCAGTAGTAGCCTCAAATTCTCACAGTTTGTTTTGCTAGTTTGTTTCAGTATGAGACATTGGCTTATAGTAGTTTTTAAAAATTTTGAATCTAACTGCATTACAACTCAAATTATGATGTTACATAATCTAATTAAAGTTGCTGAAGAAAATTTTTTTTATAATGTTACCAGCAAGTTTACCAGAGTTTCTTTTTAATTAGTGGCATTTGAATTTAGAATCGATGGAAATTTATCGATTCTAATTGATTGCTAAAATAGTTCTGTAAATTAAGAAATGTTTTCTTTTCGCATATAAGTAATACCTAAATATTTAATATAATGAAAGAGATATAATGATAAATTTAGGAATTTCTAAATCAAAACAAATGAACTCAGCATTTTATTTTTATTTTTGTAAAAGTATTTAAGTAATCATGCTAAAGTTTTTAATTTAGGTAAAGGTTTAGCATTTGTATTTATTTTTCAAAATTAAACTGATTGTTTCAATATATAGGCCTTAGAAGCAAAAAATAGAATTACTAGAAGGGAAAGTGGAACACTGAACTTATTACTACGGGTCTTGTCTACATCGTTAGCATTCATCCGGTGGTTTTGTAATGCAGTGTCCAATATTGTCATCGCTAGTCACTGGCATTCCGCTGCATCGTCTGGTGCCTAAGACTAGCACAGCTTTTTGATCGTTGGGATCTACCACGAGGACGTCCTCCATCTCTTCTTCACCGGCATCTTCAAGTTCTAACATTCTTAGAGACGACGATTGGGATATCGATATGCACTGAGTGGAAGATGACGGTTGTGGAAAAGTGGAGGGTTCCCCATCTTCCGGAAGTTTCTTTTGTTCTTCTCCTGGAACAGCGTCAGCACCAGAAAGCGTTCCGGATATGGTTGTAGACGAAAATTCGTCCGAAGCTGTCCAAGACACAGTATCTAAGCCCGGTTGAGAGCGCAATTCAGGATAGTTCCTGAGCAAGCCATTTGTGGACGTCATTGACTCTTCTTCTTCAATGTACCATAGCAATCCATTGTCGTCTAAGTTAATTTCATTATTTTCATCTTCATCTGATAGAACAACATCGCATATAGACAGTTCATCATCCAGAGGATTTCTAACATCTTCAGCAGCACTACCTCCACAAGCCTGGCTTTCATCATCGTCATCATTTTCAATTGCAATGACAGTCACTGATGGGGCACTTGCATCATCACTGGATTCGGCACTGATCATGCGTATGGGTGGTCCCATATATTTATTCAGCGTGGCTTGCTTCTCTAGTGAGACTTTTTTCGTTTGGTGAGGAGATTTGTAGGAGCCTCCATCTGATAGGCCAGAACTACAAAGGCTGATGACACTACCTACCAAAGGTGTAGGGCTCAGTTGAGACATTGGACGTCTGTCTTCGGCATCACCGGTCTCTATTGTGTGACGCCTATTTTTGGCTTCATTAAGAGCAGAAATCGGCCATGATAGTGTTGGAGAGGCGTTATCATCTTCATGCACTGATATTGTTGCCAGTGGACTGTAGTGGGCACCAGCTGTTCGATCTATGGAAGTATCTGAAATGCAAGATTAGGTATTATTTATCAATTCAACTTCTCGTACATTTATTCTGATTGAAAAACAGTGTAATAAATAGTGTTAAAATTAGACATGATACAAGATATCCCAAAACAGATTGACAGTTTTCAAAAATTTATGACGGGAAAACAATGAAATTAATAAAAGTGATTCTTGCTGCAAATGGGACAGGGTATAAATATTTCCATGGCTTTTATTTTAGTTCAAAAGTTTTCCATCAGATGGCGTTTCTCTTTGTTTGATGCCTCGCCTGTTATGTCTGAACACTCAAACTCCTAAATTCTGTTTACTGAGTAACTACTTTTGTTAATTTTAAGGTTTTACTAAATTCTTTGCGGCCTTCTGGTTGGGGGAAGGAAATCTTTAGATCTTAGTGAGGTTGTTGCTTTGCGCGCGCGTCGCCCAGCCTACATCACCCAGGGTTTTCCCTGGAGTTGCTATTGCCTCTCTTACCCATTATTCCGACGTGTTGCCATGGATCGTCACCAAGCCTACCTTTGTGAATCCTCTTTTTTCTTGCTGAGTAGTCACGTGCGCGCACTTTGAGTCTACAGTATTCCCCGGATGACCCCTGGCAGGGGCAGGACAGGGTTAAGCTTTGATCAGGTGGCGTTTCAGGTAAACATGTAAGTCAGAGAAAAATTATTAAAATTTGCACCAAAATGTTTCGAAAACGTTTTTGAATGAAAAATTAAGCTGCTATATTTTCAAAATGTCATTGTCCACAATAATGTCTTTTAATTGAAGGACGAAACTAGCAAATTTAATAGAAAGAACAGGAGAAGGAACTTGTGGTGCCATCTGTTTAAAGCTTTTTGGGCTAAAGAAAGTAAGAAACTTTGGGATTAAAATTAATCTTCTGTCACATTTGCACATTTTTTTTAAAAGTTACCTTGAATTGACACTGAAATGACCTCTTTCCCAGGAATTAAAGTTAAATAGTCAAAAGGTCAATTATTTCGAACAGGTAAACATCTCCGTCCTACTAGAAATTTTTGGAAAATTTATTTTATATTTCATTGGATCCAATATTAATTCTAGATATATTTAAGGATATACTTTAAGTCACATTTCCATAGAGTTTATATTTTACATTGTTTTTTTGTTTTGTTAAAATTTTGCTGAAAATTACTCAGGTTACGTGATTAAATGCATGTATGATTGTAAACGGAGCTATTCAGTGCTTTTCTCATCATTCCAGCCGCTCTCAACAAAATAAAGGAATAAGTTTAATTTTAATAAGTTAGTGTTAAGAAATTTAATTTTTCTAACTGTTTCAAGCAAAAAAATATTTCGTCGAAACAAATTTCAATTCTGAGGTTAATGAGACCATTAGTATGGTTCTATTGAGCATGAAACATTGAAATTCTGTTCTTCTTACGGCGAAATATAAGAACAATTTCTATTCATAATTTCTGAAACAAAAAGAAGAATATTAATACAATATTAATGCAATAAAGAATATTAATGCAATAAAAAATAGATCTATATATTTTCCACTTTTTCATAGAAGTGCATTCCTAAAGTAGACTGTGTTTGCTTACAAACTATTTATATTATACAGCATTACATATAGTTTGTCTACGATAACTCCCTCCGCCACAAAGTCTGAGGTCGTCTGCTGCTATGGAAACAAGAATATCGCATTTGTCGGGAGTGTAGCTTCTCTTCCCTCTAGGGATAACACAGTAGACCGAAGAAAAAGATTCCCTTTTATTCTCCGACCCCACACCCCTACTTGAAATAGTTGTATCTCATTACCATAGTCACCGCCACGAGTCCAGACGTATGGCTTGGGGAGTTCTTACTTTAGACAAACTATACGTGTCCATTTCAGGAAGGACATAAGGCGATGCCTTGATAAGCCACACATTTTCCAAAGGTAACATTTTCCCATCAAATTACTGGTAGGTATAGTTACCTGGTAAGTACTTTCTAAGCTTCAAAATTTCTATTAGATAATAGCCCAATACAGCAGTAGTATCTCAATATTTTGGGAACAATCATGTTCCCCCCCCCACGAAGAATACCATCTTGCATAATTCGAAAATGTGGCTTATTATATCTCCCTAAGCCCTTTATACATACAGGGTGAATAGCATATGAGTACCAGCTTTGAAAATTAAGTAAATGAAATAATTTATTGATAATATAAAGCCGTAAGATTTTGTTGCGTAGCTTTTTGTATTTATATATTAAATCCAAGACTGAATAAAAAATACAAAATTATCAACAACTGCGTAAATTAAGCAGTCTAAAAATGCATTAAATAGTATTTCAATTGTATTTTAAGCAATGGACTAAGTATTATTAAAAATATTTACTTTTGCCCTCATCTGAAAAACGGAAGATGAAGTTAGCTGGGAGTGAGGACATCTTAACAAGTTTTCTGTGAGCGAGTTGTCTTTCTTCCTCAAGCTTCTTTGCTTCTCTTCTTTTCTCACGTCCATGCTGCAACAAAAAAAAAAAAAAAAAAAAAATAAAAAAAAANAAAAAAAAAAAAAAAAAAAAAAAAAAAAGAAAGAAATACAAACATTGGAAGAGTTATGTATGACCCCTAGTGTGATATCTATCTAAAACACTTGCTGTATTAAGAAGCTATTCTGCCAAGTTTTTAAAGATAGCGGTTTTCCGTAGAAAAATATATTTTACAAATTTGTGATTTCTATCTAAAAACGTATCCTTATGAAGCTAAAGAAAGAACATTGATTTATCCTGCCAAGTTTTTAAACATAGCGGTTTACAATTGAAAAATATATTTTACAAATTTATGATTTCTATCTAAAAACGTGTCCTTTTGAAGCAGAAGAAAGAACATTGATTTATTCTGCCAAGTTTTTAGACATAGCAGTTTTCAGTAGAAAAATATATTTTACAAATTTGTGATTTCTATCTAAAAACGTATCCTTATGAAGCTAAAGAAAGAACATTGATTTATCCTGCCAAGTTTTTAAACATAGCGGTTTACAATTGAAAAATATATTTTACAAATTTATGATTTCTATCTAAAAACGTGTCCTTTTGAAGCAGAAGAAAGAACATTGATTTATTCTGCCAAGTTTTTAGACATAGCAGTTTTCAGTAGAAAAATATATTTTACAAATTTGTGATTTCTATCTAAAAACGTATCCTTATGAAGCTAAAGAAAGAACATTGATTTATCCTGCCAAGTTTTTAAACATAGCGGTTTACAATTGAAAAATATATTTTACAAATTTATGATTTCTATTTAAAAACGTGTCCTTTTGAAGCAGAAGAAAGAACATTGATTTATTCTGCCAAGTTTTTAAACATAGCGGTTTACAATTGAAAAATATATTTTACAAATTTCTGATATCTATCTAAAAACGTATCCTTATGAAGTTGAAGAAAGAACATAGATTTATTCTGCCAAGTTTTTAGACATAGCAGTTTTCAGTAGAAAAATGTATTTTATAAATTGATGAGCATGGTTAACATTTTTCAAATTCATTATCTTAACCTTTAAGGATTTTCTTGATGAAGAATTTATTTAAAAAAGTGATGCTGTCGTCATTTGAGTTTTCGTATATGTTTGAAAAATATTTGCAAAAAGTCTTTCTTTAACTGAGCGATTAAAATTTTGAATTACTTACTTATTTAAAATTATTACAAGCGAATTCAACAGTGTGTGGGAAAAAAAAGAGCGATCACAGGTTATCTATTGGCAAAATGGTTGTTGTCTAATTTTTTTTTACCCTCTTTATATGTGATATTCACCTGAATTAGTATTGAAAACGATCCAATTTGAATTGTAGGTTAGAATTTCTGATTCCTAATTAAAACAATAAAAAGAAAAATATCGTTCAAATGATGAAATTCTCTTTTATTCACAACGCAAGAAGTATTTATGAGATATCTCTGGTCCCATATCTCAAAAGTAAATTCACCAACTTAATGCATAAAAAAAATTAAAAAGTGAAGAAAAAGGAATTCTGAAAAATTATAAAAAGCAGCGGACTCCATAGCAACGCATGCAATGACGACGCATGCCTGCTGTTTACTATTACTCTTGAACACAGTTGAAAAGTGTGATGATGTCCAAATAAGGTGCGCACGCCATCAAACCCAAAACAACACCCATTTTGCCAATGGGTAATAATAACATATATTATCATAACAGATTTCTTGACGTATTAGAGGAGGGAACAAGGGTATAGTTAGTCATGCATGGTTCGCACAAGGAAAAAATTATGATCAAAACAAAATTGGTACTTCAAAGAAATGACTCTTAGGAAAGATCTGTGTATGGATAGTTATTAACCATAGAACCAATAAGTCAAAAAGAGACTTTTCATCGAGCGCTTTATTCGTGACTAGGAGACAATTTATTGCATTGGATGTTTTTTGCGTTCTTTTATCTTTAGTATTAAAGAAATGACTGCAAATGTGCGATTTCATAATTTCTTATGGTATTGTCTTTAAGTGTCAGTCTGTTTACAAGATATTTGTTTTTTTCAAGCTTCTCTCTCTCTTAAACTTATTAAATTATATTTAAGTTTGAATGGAATGCTTAACTGAGACTTGTGAGTTTCGCAGTTTCAGTAAATCTTAGTGCCAAAAACAGCACGGGATTGCAGTGGCAATGTGGTCGGTGCGAGCCGGGTACGGAATTCGTATAGACCAGCCATCGCCGGGATTCGAACTTGGCTCACCTCATTGGAAGGCGATCGCTTTATTCCCTGAGCTACCACTGCTCAAAGACGAATATTAGAAAAATACTTAAAAATTTTAATTCTTGTTAATTTGTTCTTTCAAATCTTTTATTGGTTCTATGGTTCAGATAATTTTTTTAATGCAATAATTACGTTACCTAATTTTTAACCAATTTCAATGTGTTTGATAAATTATGAAGTAAATCGTACCTTCCTCCTGACACTATCGGCAGCTTGTAGTTCGGCTTCAATCTGTCTTTCAATTTCAGCGTCCAATTCTATATCGTCGTCCATATGCTTATGAGACTCCTCGAGGTGCTTCATGAGCACTGCGACGACAACATTCACCAGCACAAACTGTGCCATTAGTACAAACACTACGAAGTACAGAGGGGCGATCACGGGAGAGACACAACAGTTACGAATGCAGTCGCTCGACGGATCACAGTTCTCTCGCAGTGTGTCCTGTGGGTTGTATGAACTTTAAATATTTTATGTAAGCACAAAAGATATTGGTAATGCAAAAAAGTTAGTAAGCTTTACGCTAGTTTCCATGCAATCTTGTATGGCTAGCTTTGTAAACCATACTCGCTGCTAAGTTAATCCCATTAAAATGTGTTCTAACTTCTCATTTTAATTTAAATCGATTATTAAAATCTTCTATTTTTCCTTAAAAGATTCAAATTTTTATTCAATAATAAATTTACAGTGAACAGCTGACTTGCTATTTGTGACTGTGACATTGTCCTGCTCGCGTTGTTGCTACTCATTATCAATCATACGCAACGGATAGGCCTGTACACAGTCGATTGCTAAGTGCATTGCTGGAGCTAGCACACTAACAAGCGGGATCTTAATACAGCTCTCACGAACAGCTCTCGAAACTCGGTGATTTTCATACAGCTCACCCGACCTCTCACAAAACAGCAATGAATTAACTAGTGGGACCTGTTTATCGAATTCTATCACAGATAAAATTTTGCTAGGGGGGGGGAATGCAGCTTAGATACCACTACAGCTATTCAATTCCCATTCACTAGTATATAAGACTTGTTAACTCGATTCTGTCTTGAGTTACCTTTTGACAGATGACAGTTGATATTTTCGGCAGTCTGCACACCCATAGCAAGACTACTAATCAACTGTGCAATCCTAAGTAATCTTGCAATAATTCATTTATATTTTGATTTTTTTAAAAACATTTTTCAGCTCTTGGTTTACCAGAACCCGCTTTTTTCTGTACTTAAAATTCTAAATGACCATCGGATTTGTGATCGAATTAGCCATGAAAGAGCTTAAGAAATCGGACTGCAAAAGCCAAAAAAGAAAAATTCTTTTTATTTATTTATTTTTAAGTGTGATAATTATAATTTAAAGTGGTTTTTTTCCCCACTGAAGCTGTTTTTTCTCGACTGAAAGAACTTTTTTTTTGTTTAGTTTCAGCGCTTTGTTGACCGAAAAACCGTATTAATTTATTTTTATGTAAACATTTATTGAATCTTTGTCTTCCAGTTCGTTGTAATTTATTTTTTTACTTTAATTAATTAAAAAAATAAACTATAAGCATTATTTTTAAAACAACTTACTTTCATAATTCCGTTCCAGTTGTCTCCTGTGGCCACCCGGAACAATGTGAGGAATGCCATCCCAAAGTTCCGAAAATGAGCATGTTCCCCGAGACCCTGGCATGGATAGTCGTCAGTACATTCTGTGACAGAAATATCGACTATACCAACAACCAGACACTCAAAAGTTAATGTTGGAAAGTAAAATCATTATGCAAATAATTAATGTCTACGATTTAGTTCAATTCTTGCTATTAGTTCACAGTCTCCCTATATCTTATTCAAATTTTCAATAGTTAATAAAATATTTTTATTCATACACTCAACTTCAAATTACATTTTTTTTAAAACTTGTAGTGGTTGATACTTGATATTAATACAGTTTTTTCAAATATTAATTCATTGAATAAATACGGATGAGCGAAAAACAAAATGGATTTTTCTGATTGAAGCGTTAGTCATTGTTTTAAATTTCACCATAAGCGATTCAGCTTTTCACTTATTTTAAAAATAACATCAGTGATAATTTCTAATTTATACAGTAGGGAACCGATTATCCGGAACGATCGGGACCATCGCTATTCCGGATAACTGATGTTTCCGGTTTTCTGAATCGCTACAGTTTTTTTTATTGTCAAATTCAACTAAAAAAATATATTTGGAAATAATCTTGAAAAGAAGAAAAAAAACGATGAAGTAATACACTAATGATTGTTTCCAAAATGATGGTAAGGTTAACATCTTTCAAAAAAGAAAGAAAAATCTTGAAATCTTATGAGGAGAAGAACATTTGTTTTTTCAAAAATGGCGGGAAAATTTATCGAATTTCGTTCCGGTTATTTGGTTTTCCGGTTTTCTGATTTCCGGATAACGGGTTCTGTACTGTACCTATATTTGAATTTAAAAAAAATAGTTTATTGCTAACATTTAAATATTTAATCATTTTATATTCGCAGTGTCACATAAATTCAATAAAGAACATAACGTGTTAGCACGTGTGGTCCACGTCAACAAATTTATACTTTTATAGTAGTCTGATAGCTCGTTTTTTTTTCCTTTCAATTCCAACTGTAAGTTCACACTCTACCAATATATATTTATATATCTCGTTTAAATTTTCAAGCGTTATTAAAATACTTTTTATTTATTCCTTCAAGTTCAAATACATTTTTTTTAAACTTGTAGTGGATGACACTTGACGTTAATACAGTTTTTTCAACTATTAATTCATTCATTAAATTTAACTAATTAATTTTAGTTTTATATGGGAGAAAAATTGTAATTATTTAATAAAAATTAACTAAAATAAAAGTTTTCTTTATTGACCTAAGAAATAGACTATAATTTTTTTTTATTTTATATTACTTGTACAGAATACATTTGTAATTTCTTGCAATTAGAACTACAGAGTTGGGGAAATGTATTTGGTAAGTTTATTGGAGGAATAGTTAACTAAATAACAAAGATTGAATTATTAAAAAATGGTGATATTTAAGGTAATGAAGAAATGATTCTTACCCAGGCGACCGAACAGTTCAACTCCTAAGGCAGCAAATATAAAAAATAGGAGAAAGAATAGAAGGCCAAGGTTTCCTACTTGTGGAAGAGCTTGCATTACGGTATCAAGAAGAGCTCGAATACCTTTAGCCATTTTGAGCAATTTCAGTACTATAAACGTTAAAAAAATAAATAATCAATGATTTTAAAAATCAATAACAGAGATGGAAGAGCAGCATAATCATTTTGGAGTAAAAAAAAAAATGTATTCTGAAGAAAATATATTTGGGTTCTGCACTGTGGGCCAGAAGACCATGATCTTCGACGAAAAGTCAAAAATTAAATTTTCAACTAAAATATGTGTAGGCAGTTTTAATATAGCCCAAATTAAGTATTCGTAATCATTTTAGAGATTATAATTTACTTTTTGGACCGACGAGAGTACAATGTAATGAAAAATATGTTTAAAATTTTTTTTTAAATGTAATTTAAAATTTTTATTTCAGAAATATATATAGGAATTTCACCTTACTGTTACATTTTTATCAGAGTAATTAGTCTGAAATTGTAGTACAATTTTTTAATTTGTTGGATTAGTTAATACTCTTGACAAACTTATAGTTTATATCTTATCATTTGACATTTTACAATGTTTGAATGATTTTCGAAACTTTGTTCCAAAAAGTTCAACGAGGTAATTAGCTAAACTTTTCTTTGTTGTCTTCTTTGATGTTTCTTATATTTATTCCTTATATGTTTCTTGATGTTTCTTATATTATTGTCTCGGTATATTTAGTCCACCTTTGCAATACGGGCAAAAACCTGCCCCATTTTGCCCGTATTGCAAAGGTGGACTAAATATACCGAGAAACAAAAATTATGTTTTTTTTCTTCATGTTTTCGCGTTATATTGTAATTAATTCGCGTTATTTTGTATTATTACTTCGGGAATATAATTTGCTTTTCATTTTTAATATAAAATGACGAAAATTATTATATTTTCATTGCTATATTTAATTATTTAAACGTACTATTTTATTATTTTTATTTTTGCTCGCCATATTTCAGCCGCCATTTTGTTTTTTTAGATATTTTTAGTGTATTTCAACCATGAATTCAATTTACCTGCATATAAAACCCCCCAAATTTTGAAGCAAATTTTATCGAAGTACTAATTTTAGCCACGAAACCTTGGACGCTGACCCACTGTGTTCTGGAGCAAAAACTCTTTAGATTCAGAGAAGTATAATGGTCGTAAAATTATATTTGTAGGCATATTTGAGAGCATAAATTAACATTTTACGTCATACTAAGGAGCTAACGCTGACGCTCAACTACCCCGATGATTACTTCGTAATAGTTTCTGTTTCTTGGCATGAAGCAATTGAAATTATTGAACTAACAATATTTATACAAAAAAGAATACCTGTCCCACCACTTCCCATGTCTAAATATTTCCCTCCCTTATAATATTAAGATGTATTAGTGAACATAAATCATATTTCTAAGTAATCATTTTTTTGAAATAACATTTAAAATTAAAAGTATATTGCTATAACGAATTCGGTGAGTTCACAGCTGTAATTTAAAATTTTTGCTTATCAAACGAGCGGCTGTCTATTTTAAATAAAATTTTTGCATTTATCACTTTGTGCATGACGCTGAAAATTAAGATCGAAATCATTTAACGAATCTCTTAAACCGCAATTCATAATAGTATATTAATGTCATTTGCGCCAAAGGATAAAAATTGCAAAGCTGTTAATAAGACCAGACACCAATTTAAATAACTTTATTTTAAAGTGTAACGTAGAATTGGGTTATTATGAAGAACGAGTACTCAGCTGGTATCTTTATTCATAACCTTATCTTCATTTATGACTGTTATAGTTAGTCTAAAGTAAGAACTCCCGTAGTCATTCGTCTGGACCCTTGGCGGTGACTATGGTAACGAGGTATAATTATTTCAAGTAGGGGTGTGGGATCATTGTTTAGGACTGGTTTGGGCTTGGGTCGGTGAGAAAAAAGGAATCTTTTTCTTCGGTTTAGTGTGTTAGCCCTAGAGTGAAGAGAAGCTACCCTCCCTGAAATGAGCTATTCTTCTTTCCATAGCATCAGACTTCGTGTCGGAGGGAGTTTTTACCATAGACAAACTATAGATAAGAAACAATTATTGCAATTTATGGATATATTACCTCTTGCTATTCTTAAGACTCTCATCACTCGAATGATTGTCGGATTAATTGGTATAACTTCGGATTCCATTTCTTCCAAAACGATACCAATTACGGAGAGGATTACGATTCCAACATCTAATTGGTTCCATCTATATTCAGAAGATTTGTTTTTAATCAGAAACTTAAAATAATATTTTTTCAAATAAAATTATATTTTGAAAACAGCGAGAAAGGAATTCCCAGTTTCTGACCAAATTATTAGATGCGCTATAAGATTCTATGTAAAATCTTAATTATCAGGTTATACTACACAGCTTTATTGTTTTTTACTCGATTGAAACCGGTTTGCACTTGCTTACATTCGTATATTGATTGGTTAACATTGTAATGCAATATGTTAAAAATAAATACAAATAGGAAATATATAAAAAAATCTCTTGAATCGAAACTCATTACTTGTATGTTTAAACTTAAAAATATTGCATAGATACTCGTGCAAAAGATGTAACTACTAAAAAACTACAGTGCGTCTAATAATTTGGACTAATTATAAAAATATACTAATATAATACTTGATATAATAAATATTCTATATTTATATATTATATCGTCCGATTTATTCAATGGTCGAATTTATATAATATATCGTCTAATCTAACCAATTGATACACGAACGTAAACAAGTGCAAACCGGTTTCAGTCGCGTGAAAACAGTAATGCTGTATATAGTATCACCTGATAATTAAGATTTTACATAGAATCTTACAGTGCGTCTAATAATTTGGCCACAGAGACTGTAATTTACCCAATAAATATGTTTAGAAGCTTACGAAATACAGGCATTCTCTACAATACAATCTACAAAGTATTACGCATGCAAAATATTCTATATACATTTTGGGCAAAAGTAATTGAACATTTAATCAGATAGTAAAAATTGAAAAATGAGATTCAAGTATAAAATATAAGGAGATTAGTATTTAAATTTATAAGTATTACGTGATATATTACCATATGTACCGTGATATATTATTACGTGATATAGCATGTCCGAAAAAGTAATTGAAAATTATTTCTCTCTCCATAATTTATTTTTTAATTGTATCAACCGTAATAATATAATTTTAATTAAATATCTTAAAACTCTAAAAATATGTTGGGATCAAACTGCGGCACAATAAAAAAAAAAAAGAAAAACATTTGAATAACTTTTGTTTTAAAAACCGGACTTTCATGTACTAAAAACCAATCTTGATGGTTCAAAAAATTAATTTCAAATATACTAATTAAATTTAATTAGTTACAGAATCAGACAAAAACGTTTTTAATAACCTCAAATTGACCACTTTTGACTGACTAAACCATTGCGACCATATCTCCAATATTGCTGCCACTTTGATACTCAGTCTGTATTTTTCAGCACTTTGAGTGCAGTATTTTGGAGCCGTGCCACACATTGAATGAGTTAAAATATAATTCTTTCTCGTCTGCGTCTTTTACTTAAATTAGATTTATTATTTGTTTATGTATTTTATTGTAACCGTGATATATTTTCGTTTTGTGTACCTGGCAACTTCAATGCATAATTAGTTTGTTTATGTTCCACACGGCATGTTTTTGTGTTAAGTCTCTGTGTAAATATATAGTGAAAGAATTGAAATCCTTGAGAAATAATCTTCGTGAAAGAATTTAGAATGTGTCAATTAAGAGAATTGATACTTAACGGGCTTGCCTTACTCGAAACGGAATGGAATAAACAATTGCTAATGTAAACAAATGCCACGTTTCAACAACCAAATAGGATCTAGATACTCACACAACGTCATTTGCAGGTATCCCATTGTGGGCTCTTCATACAGCATAGTTTGGGAAGCACAGACATTTAGAAACCACCAAATGGTACTTTTAGGTGCAGAGCACCACCTAGCGGCGCACTAAAGAACATTTCAGCTGGATAAGCCTTATGATAGGCCCTATCTTTTCTTTAAGTTTGTACTAGATACGATACCATATATACTATATTAACTATCATATGTACTATTTTAACTGCTACATGAACTAGATTTTTGTACTAGATATATATTTATATATATATATAGAATGAAAAAAGTTGAAAAGCAGAAATGCCAGAAGAGTCTTTTATACCTTGTTGATTCTGTTTTTTGACATTGATTGTCTAAAATATGTGTCAAGTATTTATCATTTCATAATTCAATGTCCAATTTCTAACATTTGAAGTATTATATATTTTGATACATAATTGGCAATATAATTCATAATTAATAAGAAATTTAAGAGTTTTGAGTAATTCTAAGTAAAATTATTTTTTATTTTCAATATTTAAAAGAATCATCGCATTTTTTAATCACATAATTCTTTTAAAGAAAGTTTTATTCTACTAAATTGTTTTTGTTCTTTCTGTTTGAAGCATTATAAAATATTTTCTATTTGAAAGTGTGAGATTATTTTTTGGGAGATCTTTTAATATAGACTTTTAACCATTTTCAAAAGCGAATAGGATAGGAAATACTCACCGATCTGAAAGATATCTACGAAGTCCTAAGGCAACAATTTTCATTGCCGCTTCTAAAATGAAGACGGCAGTAAAAAAGTAGTTGAAAACCTTTAGGGCATATACAAGCTCCTAAGAAAGATACGAAAATATTATAATTGATCCTTTATTAAAACTGAAAACGAGGGAAATTTAATTAAAAAGAATTATTTTAGCGAAAGCATATGTAATTTGTTTTTATAACTTGATAAATTCTCGTGACTGAGGCACCACAATTCTACGTTATTTAATTATTTTTTGAGTTACCATATCAATTTTGCATCTTACAATAATATACCATAACAATTCAAGTCAAAATTCTTGTTGGTCGAATCGAAAATGTTTGATGGTTTATGTTGATTTCTGTGCGATTCATGATGGCCCAATATCATTTGATTGTCACCATCATCCAACATTTTCCATTACGCGTTCATGGTTTTTGATATGCCAACACTTTTCCATCATTCTATGGTGGAAAATGCTACTTTAATGTTATGATGGTTAACCATCAGGAGAAGTTTGATTCTCATGTATCAATAATCCATAATGATCCGTGATGGTTCATGAGGGTTCCAACTATACACTTCCTTGATGGTTTAATGGGAATTCTTGTTGGTTCTCAGGAACCATCAGTTACCATCAAAACAATTTGTTTTTTTTTTATGTTGGTCCATCATAAATTAATCAGTACTCCCACATGATGGTGGTTCATGATTGTTCCAACATTTCATTTTTAAGAAACTATGACACACAATTCTGATGGTTCAACGAACAATTCATGACGGATCATGATGGTTTCAACTAAACATTTTCATGATGGTTTATTTGGAATTCTTGTTGGTTCTCGGGAATATGTCTTCAAAACAATTTGGTTCTTTTTTATGTTATACCATCATAAATCAGTCCGAATTTCCACATTGAGATGATGGTTACCATAAAAAAATATAATGGTTCATGATGGAATTACTGATGGTTACCATCGAGGTAACATTGGTCCATCAATGAAAAGCCATCAAAAACTTTGAATTGGGAACATGATTGCTTTTCTAAAAGGATACAATCCATTTAATGAGAAATTTTTTTAAAAAAGTTAGACTTTTTTTAAAAGTTAGATTAATAATGCCCAAAGTGAGCCATACTTTTTCCAAAAGAATATATCTTCACATTAAACTAGTATTGCTCCCAGAAAAGTACTTTACAAGCTTCAGGAATTTTTACTAGCATAATGCACTGAAACATCTTTTTATTACCATGATATCGTAAATCAAGTTCCTTTTTATATGTATAAAGCCGTTGCCGAGTGGAAGGATTAAAACAGATCTTAGGCAGGGAAAGAGGGCACAAAATTTATTTAATAATTGTTGGACAGAGAACAGTTATCAAAGTGACTCAAAATCGTTGTGCTCCTCAATAAAAGTTAGGGAAATTCTTGCAAAGTAAATCAGTAAAATATTTCGTTTTAGGGAAAACTTAGTAATTATAATTTGTCTGTTAAATAGGTCCATGGAAAAAGTCTTTCCCACGAATTAGTTAAAGAGATAATCACCAAAATGGTAATTAATGCATACTTGAACTAAAAGTAGATTAAACGACAGGATGTGAATTTTAAAATGTGAGAAAGAGCATTTCGTTTTGAACAATAAATTAAGACAAAAGATTTACAGAAAAGGAATAACATAAGATTAGCTGAAGCTTTTTATGTTACATATATATATATAAATAAAGTTTTTGGTAAATGTCAAAATATCTATTAGTAAAATATAATGGAACGAAATTCTCTTACCATGGGCATCATGTAAAATTCTGTTGCCATAGTGACAACATTTAGCCCGATGACTGCAGCAATTGCTAAGTCAAAATACTTGCTTGTAATGATGTTATGAGTGAGAAGACGTGGCTTTGAGTAGTTGATGTAATAGGGTGGTTCTCGCATTTCTAGAATGAATAAACAAATAAAAACTTTGAAATAAATAGATATTGAAGTGATTTATGGTGAAATTTTGACTATAAGATGTGATACAGTTGAAAATTTAAGATTCTAAAATTGTATTAACTTCTAATTTGTTAATTTTTAGACTGGGTGATTTGTAATGACCATACTCGATATGTATTTTTAGAGTTCATGTTAAAGATGAAGTAAAACACATAATACAGTGCAGAACCCGTTATCCGGAAATCAGAAAACCGGAAAACCAAAAAACCGTAACGAAATTCGAAAAATTTTCCCGCCATTTTTTAAAAAAGAAAAAAATTTCTCCTCATAAAATTTTAGGATTTTTCTTTCTTTTTTGAAAGATGTTTACCTTACCATCTTACCATCATTTTGGAAATAATCATTAGTGTATTTCATCGTTTTTTCTTCTTTTGAAGATTATATCCAAATGTTTTTTTTTTCAGTTTGGTTTAACAATTAAAAAAACGGCTTTTTGTAGCGATGCAGAAAACCGGAAAAATCAGTTATCCGGAATAGCGATGGTCCCGATCATTCCGGATAATCGGTTCCCTACTGTAATTTTTTTTTTAAAAGTCCATTCCTACTTACGTCAACAGAAAAAAACTTTATTTTAGTTACTTTTTATTAAATGATTACAATTTTTTCTCTCTTATAAAACTAAAATTAATTACTTAAATTTAATTAATATCTGAAAAAAATTGTACTAACATCAAGTATCATCCCCTTCAAGTTTAAAAAAGTGTATCTGAATTTTAGTGGATGAATAAAAAGTATTTAAAGTAGTAAACAAGATATAAGGCGAATGTGAACTAATAGTAGGAATTGAAAAAAATGACTTAGCGGTCGTACTGTTTGACTTTCACTAGAACTCATCTTGCTAACGGTTACTATGGTTACAAAATCAAGTCACTTCAAATAGTGGAGTGCGACCGTTTCGGATTGTTTTAGGTTGGGGGAGTCATATTATAACTTCAATTCTTCTCTAACAAAAATTTTTCAAGTAATTTTGTACCTTTTTAATAGCACCTATTATCATAAGTAAATACAATACCAATAGTATATATTAATTGATTACTCACCGTTGACGTGTTAACTCATCTAGCCTGATTAAAAGCTTCATTGGCTTCAACTAAATTGGATTCAAACAAAACTAGAAAAACCCATAGGGGCAAACCGTGGTAAAATGCATTTCCACACGCAATGGAAAGATGGTGAGGTATCAATGTCGTTTACAAGAGAATCAGCATTCATATGAATAAAACAAGATTCCTGGTCATCAAAGTGAGTTTAAGTGACTTAGGTGAAAATAAATTTAGCATTGTCGAAATTGAATTTATACCCAAGATACATACAAGAATTTATACCAACAATATGCAGCAATTGATGATTTCGTGTTCCTAAATTCTGAATTTTTTTGAAGCGTGTCTAATATATCATAACATATTTCAAAATTGTTATTTATCTACATAGTTTTCACAAACTTCTACACTATTTTTTTTTGGAAATTTTTTTTAATTCCCGTAATGACATAGAAAAAGTAGGTTGTGTAGTTAAAATTCAGATTTTTTTAAAGAAGTTTTTAATAAAGTTAAAGAAGTGAAATACATTTTCTAATAAGAAATTTTTTTAAAAAATTTTTTTTTACAAAAAAGGGGAGAAAATAGTCTAAATATGGAAAGTCGTTAAGTAGTAACAGAATACGATGATTCTCTTGAGAAAAACAGTAGAGTATGATACAATGACGAGGAAGGAGTAGAGAGATAGGAGATTTCTTATATATTTCTTCCACATCGAATGCTTTTATATGCCATCAAATCAAGGGTAATTGTTTCTAACACTGGAAGAAGTTTAACATCATACTTGACGTGCTATGAAGGCTTCGACGTTCATTTCATTATTTGCTTTGTTTCATGGCATAAAACATAATTCTTGAATTTGAAATTTCTTCAATTCTTTTCTAAGTAAATACTATTTATTCTTCCTGATACCTTCAACAAAAATTTGGAAAACTGCTAAAATTTCAGGACAATTTTTGAAACGTTTAATAATTAAGGACACTTCCTTTTTTTAAAAAAAAGAATTTGAGGACAACTATGAGTTTTACCTTGAACATACATAGTTGAGTTTTACCTTGAAATAAAAAATATTTTATGATCTTATTTATACTCACTTCTTCTCTTCCTCTCGAGCTTCTTAGCCCTTTTCGCTGCTCGAAGCGCCTTCTCCTCTTTCTCTTGCTCTTCTCTACATCGATGAAAATTCTCTACTACAACACCCACAAACATGTTGAGCACAAAGAAAGCCACCAGCAAGAGGAAAGATATAAAATAGAGAAGCCGCCATTCGTTGTAATTCACGATGGGCTGTCAATGAAACATTGCTGTTTACAAACATTTTCAGAAATAAAACAACTATTCAATTAATGTCAACAAACCAGCCATAAATTAGAAGCTGTAGCTCAAAACATGGTATAAACAAATTATACAACCTCCCCAAGTAGCGCATATCTTAAAAACGCAGCTTCAGCAAAAAATATATTTTACACTTAATATGTTCTGTTTTCGTTTCAATTTTTTTTGCTCCTCATACTATTGGTTTTTATATTTCGGTTTGGCTATATTGATACAATATTAGAAAGCACTTCTTTTTGCGGATATAATTGCGTGAGCTGATGATTGATACATATATACATATAGGCAACCCTTTTACTTCGAAAGTGACCGAATGTTACAGTGTTGAATTAACCGGTCACCGTCGAATAGTGATCGAACGGGTTTGAAGAAATCGAATCGAAGAAGCGCGTTTCAGCTGCATAAGGGTATAGATTGCACCGTACAATAATTCAGTTAGGTTTCAATCGAACACCTTATAAAGCACATTTTCCTTGCCTTATGGTTCAAGATATTATGGCTCAAAGAATTTCTATGACAGTAAAGGATCACAATCCTTATGTCGTATATTTTTGTTAGAAAAATGCTAGTCCATTACGATGAGTTACTAAGTAATTTGAGCACATTCAGACAAGAAGAACAATTTTAAAATTCTATGTTATTGTTTGACATCAAAACAAGCATCTTATCTTGAGAATATATGTTTTTTTTTCTTCTTTAGAGAGCAAATTATAGATTACAAATTGGATTAGAAATTGGAAAGGAGTCGCCATTGATAGGAGGCGCTGGCATTTGTCAACTGTTGAAGGTGCCAAGGCCTATAAGGGGCTGTTGCGCTAACAAAGAAGAAGAAGAATTATAATTAGCCAGCAAACTTTTACAAACCTGTTGATCGACACCGACTGCATCTAAACCGGTATACATAATGTTTACCCATCCATCTTTAGAAGAGAGTACAAATAACGACATCAAAGCCTGCAATAAAAATATTTTTACTAATTTTTAAAAAAATATTATTATTACCTTGGCTATAAACATATTAATGAGGTTTAATAATTTGTATTATTTCTCTTTTATTAAAAACATAGAGAGAGGTGACATTTGCTTGATTATTTTGGATATAAAAATCACCATTCAAGTGGTAAAAACAGAATTTTTTTAAAAAAAATAGAATACAACAAAAGTTAAAGTTATCAAAATTTAAATGAAAAATTTCATTTAAAAAAAAAATAAGCTTTTTAGTGAAGCAAAACTTTTGTCTGTTGTGATATAAATCTATTTGTAATGTTATTTGTATTATTTTTTTGTTAAAAAAATTATATTTAGAAATAATTTAAACTTATTGTTTTAGAAAGAATATTTAAAAGTACGTAGTAAAATTGTGAGCACTGTTTTCTTAATAAAAATGTATTTTTTTTATAAATTTATATTTTTGAAACAGATAAAATTACATGACATTATTTTCTACATTCTTCAAATTCTTTTAATTATTTTCTTGTTATAAGCTTATTTTTAAAACAGTGAAAATTAAATGTTATTAGTTAATGAAAAAATATCTACAGTGATGAGAAATAAAATTGTTTACATTACAGGGTGTTCCAAAATTATCTTTACAACTTCAAAAATTCATAACTTCGAACATAAACAAGATATTTTTATTCTGTCTTTTGCATGTATTACTGCAACTAATAAAGTTTTTTTTCAATAGGCTGAAAAGTTATAAGTGAGGATGTGGACACCACAACAGAAAGCTCAATGCGTCTCATGGTTCATAGACACGAAATCAGATACACAGGTTAACGGAACTTCAGGACAAATTTCCAAAGAGACCCACCATCCAGACCCTCCATCCGTGCATGGCACACAAGCTTCATGAGCACCGGATCAGTATTGCTCAAAAGTGGAGCCGGACGACCCAGCACAAGTCCAGAAAATGTGGAGCGAATACGGCCATGAGACGCATTGAGCTTTCTGCTGTGGTGTCCACATCCTCACTTAAAACTTTTCAGCCAATTAAAAAAAAAAACTTTATTAGTTGCAGTAATACATGCAAAAGACAGAATATAAATATCTTGTTTATGTTCGAAGTTATGAATTTTTGAAGTTGTAAAGATAATTTTGGAACACCCTGTATTTTCTTGTTACAAATATTCTTTTAAGAGAGATAAAGTTCAATTTTCTAATTTCAGTAGGTAAATTATTTGAATTATTTATCTCTGTTTATGACAGATTAAATATTATTTCAGGAGGAAATGTCGACATTTATGAGAAATGAAATTATTTGGATTATTTTCTTGACAAAAATCTACTTTTAAGACAAGTAAAATTAAAAATTATTATTTTAGGTAGAAAGATTATTTACTATTTTCTTGATAAAAAATCTATTAAGACAGAGAAATTAAATGTTATTATTTTGGGAAGGATACAACTGCATTTATAAAAATAATAAAATTATTTAGATTATTTTCTTGATAAAAATCTATTTTTAAGACAAGTAAAATTAAAGATTATTATTTTAAGTATAACTATCTACACTAATGTGAAAAAAGATTATTTTTATTATTTTCCTGATAAAAAAACTACTTAGGCAGAAAAATTAAATGTTATTATTTTAGGAAGAAATCTATACATTTATGAGAAATGCAATTATTTGTATTATTTCCTTGACAAAAATCTACTTTTAAGGCAAGTGAAAATAAGGCAAGTGAAAATAAAGATTACTATTTTTAGTAGAAATATCTAGATTTATATGAAATAAGATTATTTTTATTATTTTCTTGATAAAAAACCATTAAGGCAGAAAAAATAAAATGTTATTAGTTTAGGAAGAAATCTATACATTTATGAGAAATGAAATTATTTGTATTATTTTCATGATAAAAATCTATTTTTAAGACATGTAAAATTAAATATTATTATTTTAGGATTATTATGAATATACACATTCACGAGAAAAAAAATATTTGTATTTTCTTGATAAGAATCTATTTTTAAACATTTTATGCAATATAATATATTTTATCATGAGTAACATAACTCACCTGACCAAGATTATCAAAATTGTAGCGTTGATTTACCCACTGGTTTCTGGGATCAGATTCGCAATCCGTTCTATTTTTAACATGCCTGATATCAGGTCCCTCGCAGTAGAACAAACTACCCTTGAACAACTATTAGAGATTAAAATATCAAACTGTATTATTGTGCCATCCAGAAAAAATTCAAAGTTTTGAATCATAGTCAGATGATTGAACATGTGTCTTATTTAAATACATTTTAAAGCATTTTTTGCTAAAAATAACAAACAATTAATTAAAAAAAAATTATAATCATTCTTAAAAAATCAAAGAACTAAAGGAATAATTATGAAAAGCAGAAGAAACATTATCATATATCAGAGCTTCCTAACCTTGCTTCCCAAGTATGGCATTATTATAATTATTTAAATAAGCTAATTAATTATTAATTATGTTGTAATTAAACATTGTGGAACTAGGGTAGGTGATACCGTAGGAATGCAGCACGAAACCTAAAAACAAGTCATTCTTTGACATTATTTTTTTGAACAATAACTGATAGCATACATTGATCTTACGCAATTAGACTGGATTTGTCCTGATTAAAAAAAAAAAAAAAAAAAAAAAAAAAAAAAAAAAAAAAAAAAACTAAAAAATTTGCCTAGAATAGAGATCATGGACGTGTGCACATTGGAACCTTTATTGTATATGATGCATCTTAGAGTAACAGAGAATAGTAAAAGAGTGGTATTGATTAATATGCTTCAATAAGACGTGGTGGCTCAGGGTATCATCTCTTTTTAACCTAAATGCGGGTTAGTTCCATCAAAAAGTCCTGCACGAGGGCAAATTTCGCCCAATACTTAATCCAGGAGCTCCATTGTCTTCTGGATTGGGTTCAAAATTACAAGGCTATGGAGTTGAGCATAAGTAGTCGTAAATCCGAAAAATTTAGCCGGTTGTTCAACATTGGTAATAAAATAAAATGAAATCTTCAATGGAGAGCAGTGGTGGCCCAGGAGATATAGCATTCACCTTCCAATGAGGTGAACCAGGTTCAAATCTCAGTGATGGCTGGGCGATACAATTGCCACATCTATCTCGTACCGACCACCGTGCCAAAGTGAAAAATATACTCAGTGGTGGACGGATCATGGGTTAGAGTCCCCTTGCCGTCAGGCAAACAGTGGAATGTTTTCCTCTCCATGTAACTTCAAGTGCGGGTTAGTTCCATCTAAAAGTCTCCCAAGAAGGCTCCCAATACTTGATCTAGGAGTTTCCTTGTCTTTTGGATTGTGTTCAAAATTATAATTATTGGTAGTTCTAAACTCAAAATTGGGTCTGCTGTTCAACGACTGGTTGTAAATTTAAAATAGGCTTCTATGATTGGATATTGCCATGGATATTCACTGATTGATTGGATATTGCCATGGATATTCACTGATTGATTGGATATTAACTGGGTATTCCAGATATTGTCATTCAGTATTACTTAGATCTAACTCTACTAAGTATAATATATACTTAAAGTATATTAAGTATAATATATACTTAATGTAATTATCTAAGATGCTAAAATCAAAGAATCTACAGGTAAACTTTTAATATACTTAAAAATTGATCTACATTTCTTTTAATATGCTAAAAATATTCCCAAAAAGGTTTTAAAAAGATTTTAAAAAGGTTACCTGTACGCCTAAAATACCAAAGATGATGAAGAAAGTGCAACAGATGAGCACAATGTTTCCGATGGGTCTAAGAGAGGATAATAGAGTCTGGACTACTAGTTTGAGTCCTGGAGCCCTATTGATGACTCTGTAATAAAATGAATATTTCAATGACGTCATTCTTATTAACACCAAAACCTGTTTGATTTCCAGTTGGAACTTGAAGGCGTTTCTAATAAGGTATTTTCCACTCCTCTCTGTTTCCTCTCACAATCAAACAGGATTTGGTGGTTTCAACCGCTTCCCTGATAATCCCGAGTTAACTCAGGTATGTAGGGGAGAGTGGGGTCAATTGTAACATTTTTTACTTAGCTATTTTTAACTAACAAAAAATCCAATATAGTATTAGTATTAATTGACAGACGAGTAAAGTAGACTATCCTCTACCAGAAAAAAAACCTTATTTTAAATGTTATTATATTTATTATTAACAATTTTTGACAGTCGTGCACTTGTTACAATTGTCCCCACTTACGGGGTCAATTGTAACAGTTCATAAATTCAACTAAAACATAGTTAATTATACATATTATCATAGTTGTGATATATTTTTTTATTGATCAAAATAGTAGTGATATTTTAGGAGTAAAAATAATAATGAGCAGAGACCTAAAGGGTTAAACTTTTAACTTCAAGGGGTTAAAAATTTTAATTTATGCTGTGAAAGGTGACAAATAAAATAATGCACATGCATCATAATATATATGATATAGGTTATGATATAGGTATTGCTCATTAAACAGTTGATTTTCTTAAAAAAAAAAAAAAAACTGCTCAAAGAAAGAAAAGAAAAATTCGGTGAAGTAAATAAAATCTCCCGGTCATTGAACGATATTGAAGAAAAAAAAAAATAAAGGAAAAATACAATGAGCAAATTTATATAAATAAAAAAAACACAGCATTAATCAACTAGTGGTATCCGTTCATCGAATTCTATCACAGATAAAATTCTGGAAAAGGAGTAATGTAGCGTAATTACCACTATAAATATTAAATACCAATTCACTAGTATATAAGACGCGTTAACTTGATTCTATCTAGGTGTACCTTTTGATAGATGAAGGTTGACATGGTCTAAGATTAAATACCTTCAAATCTATTTCAAAGACTAATATTTAACTTTTTTTCATTTGTCCAAGATAACTTGGGATAGTAAACTGATGGTAAATTAATTGTTTTTTACACATAAAAAAATTGAAATTTCAACTTAAAACTTGTGTATTATGTTTTCTTTTAGTTCCTTGTATTTATTAATGAAATAAAAATATAAGTTGATTTTTTTGTATTTTTTTTCTTCAAAAAAAAATGGTAAGGGAAGCTGTCAAACAAGCCTCGCTCATTAGTGATTCGCCAGATTTCAATATTTTTGTTTTTTTTCTTCCTTACTTCAAGAATTAGCGATCTCTAATGCATAGTTTTTTTTATACCTCATTTATGACAAGGATTCTGAAAATATACAATAAGGGTGGTAATTACGGAACACCCAGCATAAATAATTTAAAACCTTGTTTAATATGGGATAACCTAATTGAGTGATTGAAATAATTCTTCACCTGAGTGGTCTGAGTGATCTCAGAAGTCGGAAAACACGAAGGATTCCGAATATCCGGGGACTTCCGTCTGCGATAAAAGAGAGGCAAAAGTCCACCAGGGAGATGATGACCAGAGATCCGTCCATCACATTCCATCCACTCTTGAAGTAGGCTCTGTCCCCGTACCATAGACCCTTCGCAATCACCTGCGGAAAATAACAAATTGATTTATATTGTGTACAGTGCCCAAATAACTAAACGGACTACCCAGAATAACTTTGGATCTAATGACTGGATCTTCACGGTCTAGGACTCCATCTTAATGGTTCCAGGGGGTAACCTCAAATATGCTAATTAATTGGAGCAAACGATATTTACAAAACAAGGCACAGAAACTCTGAATAAACATACCTTTTTTTTTGACTGATTTGGATCTCTGACCTCCAAAATATAAGGAGTAGCAGCAATTTGGGTAATATGGTTCCAGTAGTTTGGTCAGGAAAGCTGACCAAAGTTTTGAACCCTTAATGCTAATTTTACTTTGCGAGTATTTTAACATATCTTGAGAACTTTTTAAGCGAATTAAAAAATGTTTGCACGCAAATATAATATTCCTTTTTTTCCAATGATAATCCCATATAAAATATAACTTTTAGCAAATATTTATTATTTTTTATTATTTTAATTAATAATAAAATAATGGAAAAAATTTTCAACTGCAAGGTATAAATTCTTTACATCATTTTGAAGAATGCAATTTTAAATGGCAAAATGCAAAATTTGAGTGAAATCGGTCGAATAGAACTTTGAAAAAGAAATCGTAATTCGATTTTGATCGTTACGCTGAAATACTCACAAAGTAAAATTAGCATAAAGGGGCTCAAATCTTGAACAGCTCTCCTCACACTTAAACACTATTGGAACCTTATTTCCGAGATTGTGGCTAACCCCTATATTTTGGGGATCATATATTCTAATCGGTAGAAAAAAAGGTATGTTTATTCAGAGAAAATAAGTTTTTGTGTCTGATTTTGTAACTTAAAATATCGTCTGCACTTTGTAACTTAAAATATCGTTTGCAATTTAAAATATCGTCTGTCTTTGTAACTTAAAATATTATCTGTAGATATCGTTTGCTCTAATTAATTACCATATTTGAAGTCCCCCCCTCGAGACAATAAGTTAGAGTCCTAGAACGTGAAGATCCGATCTTTAGATCAAAAGTTATTCAGGGTGGTTTGTTTATTTTTTTGCGCCATGTGCGTTCAACGCTTATTTTAAGACAATTAGATTAAATACATTCGACTTACATTAAATCTTTTTTATAAAAATAAAAATAAATGTGGAGCTAGATAGTTTCAATGTTTATTCCATAGTTATCTAAGTTCTATATTCAAGCTTAGAAAATTGTCTTTAAAATTAATAACAAATTTCAAGACTTTCTTTTTCTTGTTAAGGAGGGAGAAAATTTTGGTTCACATGAATGAAATTTTTTTTACAAACCAATTTTAGTCAGGAAGATAAAATTTCGATTTTATCCAACTTCATTTAATAGTAAAACTTTCATTTAATGAAGCAAGTAATATGATTTCCGTTTTTTATTCCTCTATTTTTTTCTATAATACTTCCCTAAATATTGATAATGTTGAGACTTGCTACTTAACTATCAACTTAAAAATGAAATTTAACATACTTATTTGAAAGATAAAAAAAAAAAAAAAAAGGAATATAATGTTGAAATTATGCATATTAAGGAAAAAACCCTGCTCCAACTATGCTAAATTAACCTGTAAGCCAGATAAAATGATTTAATAGAATATCTTTCAAGTATAAATTCGTTAGTAACAATTGATAATTTATTTCGCAATAACTATAATAATTAATTGTTTTTATTTGTTTACTTAGAGTAAATGTTACTGTGAATGATCGAAATTGGTGTTTGTTGACTTCTACCGGTGAATGTTGACAACTACATAGTTGCTTTGGAAAACGTCCGAAATATATACTAGGTCTAGTTAAACCCGGTATGCCCTACATGAATGTTTTTTTAAGTTTCAGTGCCACTGCCCGGTATACATTTGCCCGGTATACTCTACACAGATTGCCACTGCCCTGTATGCATTTTACCGATACTCCGAAAGCTGATGTTTCTCTTAACCTATCCTCCGCAGATATTAAAATATCAAATCTATATTATATAAAACGCTAATACGTACGTATGTATGTATGTATCAATAAAACCGATGATATTTCTTTTATCGCGCTGGCAACAGTTTTAATTTTTAATTGATTGCATTCGGCGCGCAAGGGCACGTAGTGAGCAACCAGATAACAATAACCAGAGTGAGCATTATCAGGTTGTTCAATTCAGATTCATGCACTAAAAACATGACAATATTTAATTTAAACTCAATTAGGAATTAATTAATTAATTGAAGTGAGAATGCTTTAAAAGGCCGCTGTTGAATTGATATTTTTCTACTGGGAGCTACCTAAACGTCTAAAAAACGTTTAAGTGTTTGTATTGAATGCATTGAATTTTTTTATATTTCGCGTTTATTTATGCATTGAATTTTCACGCTTT